TTTTGGGGAGGGAGTTCAAGATTTTATTTACAAGAGAGAGGAGAGAGAGGAGAGAGAGAGAGGAGAGAGAGGCAAGGGTTTGGGGGGATCGCTGCGTGTGGGAATTTAATAATTCAGTCGCGATAAAAATGACACAGACAACGAGGAGAGGTGCTTGCGCGTGTTGAATTGTGACCATTTGTCACGCCGAGTCCACGAGAGATGGGGTGGTGGTGCTGTTGGGTCCAGTGCCGGATGAAGCTAGAGCAGGTCCTGTAGCATTTGCTGTTACTCTGGTCAACACACTTTTTTCTGGCACGAGGTATTCCAACGGTTTTAAGGTAATTTTGGGGTGCCGATTCCAAATTTGGCATCAGTCTATCACATCAGGTTTTTGAGATATCAAAGATTGCATTTTCAATAAGAACTGCGGAAGAAAAATATTAAATAAATGTGGATATCTACATGAAATGATATTATAAACACACTATGCTAAAAATGCAGCACCATGTTTTAACACTAAAGCAGTCACTACCTCGCAACAACTTGCAATCATAAGTGACGGAGTTAATTTCGGGTAAAATCAATGAAAATGGGGTATGCCGATAGCATAAAAATGAGATGTGATGGAGCAAATCTGAGGTCAGATTTGGAATCGGCACCCTGAAATTAGTCTAGAACAACTGCAAAAGTCCAGGCCAGAAAAAAAAGTGTATTTTTTGTTGACCAGTGTTACAGATTTGAGAGAAAAAAATATTAAAAGACAATTTGTTTTTAAATTTTGTTCAAATTTTCTTGCCGTGTTTTTCACACCTGATGATGATTGCTTGTGTTGCAAATACTCACGTCGTGAGCATTTTATCGTTTTAGAATTTTTTTAATTATTTTATTGTTTCCCTTCTACGTGACTTTACCGAAAAAACCGAGAATATGAATCCCTGCAGATACGAAAGCTTTAAATCAAATTTAGTTTTTTTTTTTACTTGCGTAGTAAAGTAATTTTTTTAATGTTTTCATTTGCTATACAGCCGGATGGATAAGACGAATCGGTAACCTTAAACACCGCGGTCGTTCGTAAAAGCTGAAGGGCAGTATAGTACTATAGCAATAGAGCAAGTGCAGAATCACCGAACCGAAATTGAGTGCTACTAGGGTAATGAGACATTGTTACGTAGCATTAGTAGCTACTTGTGCTACTAGGATAATGAGACACTGATAAGTAGAATGTGTGGCTACTTGTGCTACTAGGATAATGAGACACTGACAAGTAGCATTAGTAGCTACTTGTGTTACTAGGATAATGAGACACTGACAAGTAGCATTAGTAGCTACTTGTGTTACTAGGATAATGAGACACTGACAAGTAACATTAGTAGCTACTTGTGTTACTAGGATAATGAGACACTGACAAGTAGCATTAGTAGCTACTTGTGTTACTAGGATAATGAGACACTGACAAGTAGCATTAGTAGCTACTTGTGTTACTAGGTTAATGAGACACTGACAAGTAACATTAGTAGCTACTTGTGCTACTAGGTTAATGAGACACTGATAAGTAACATTAGTAGCTACTTGTGCTACTAGGATAATGAGACACTGATAAGTAACATTAGTAGCTACTTGTGTTACTAGGATAATGAGACACTGACAAGTAGCATTAGTAGCTACTTGTGTTACTAGGATAATGAGACACTGACAAGTAGCATTAGTAGCTACTTGTGTTACTAGGATAATGAGACACTGACAAGTAACATTAGTAGCTACTTGTGCTACTAGCTTAATGAGACACTGATAAGCAACATTAGTAGCTACTTGTGCTACTAGGATAATGAGACACTGACAAGTAGCATTAGTAGCTACTTGTGTTACTAGGATAATGAGACACTGACAAGTAGCATTAGTAGCTACTTGTGTTACTAGGATAATGAGACACGACATATTAGTAGCATGTAGACACTGACAAGTAACATTAGTAGCTACTTGTGTTACTAGGTTAATGAGACACTGACAAGTAACATTAGTAGCTACTTGTGCTACTAGGTTAATGAGACACTGATAAGTAACATTAGTAGCTACTTGTGCTACTAGGATAATGAGACACTGACAAGTAACATTAGTAGTTACTTGTGCTACTAGGATAATGAGACACTGACAAGTAGCATTAGTAGCTACTTGTGTTACTAGGATAATGAGACACTGACAAGTAGCATTAGTAGCTACTTGTGCTACTAGGTTAATGGGACACTGACAAGTAACATTAGTAGCTACTTGTGCTACTAGGATAATGAGACACTGACAAGTAACATTAGTAGCTACTTGTGCTACTAGGATAATGAGACACTGACAAGTAACATTAGTAGCTACTTGTGCTACTAGGTTAATGAGACACTGACAAGTAACATTAGTAGCTACTTGTGCTACTAGGTTAATGAGACACTGACAAGTAACATTAGTAGCTACTTGTGCTACTAGGTTAATGAGACACTGACAAGTAACATTAGTAGCTACTTGTGTTACTAGGTTAATGAGACACTGACAAGTAACATTAGTAGCTACTTGTGCTACTAGGTTAATGAGACACTGACAAGTAACATTAGTAGCTACATGTGCTACTAGGATAATGAGACACTGACAAGTAGCATTAGTAGCTACTTGTGCTACTAGGATAATGAGACACTGACAAGTAGCATTAGTAGCTACTTGTGTTACTAGGATAATGAGACACTGACAAGTAACATTAGTAGCTACTTGTGCTACTAGGTTAATGAGACACTGACAAGTAACATTAGTAGCTACTTGTGTTACTAGGTTAATGAGACACTGACAAGTAGCATTAGTAGCTACTTGTGTTACTAGGATAATGAGACACTGACAAGTAACATTAGTAGCTACTTGTGTTACTAGGATAATGAGACACTGACAGGTAACATTAGTAGCTACTTGTGCTACTAGGATAATGAGACACTGACAAGTAGCATTAGTAGCTACTTGTGTTACTAGGATAATGAGACACTGACAGGTAACATTAGTAGCTACTTGTGCTACTAGGTTAATGAGACACTGACAAGTAACATTAGTAGCTACTTGTGTTACTAGGTTAATGAGACACTGACAAGTAGAATTAGTAGCTACTTGTGTTACTAGGATAATGAGACACTGACAAGTAACATTAGTAGCTACTTGTGTTACTAGGATAATGAGACACTGACAGGTAACATTAGTAGCTACTTGTGCTACTAGGATAATGAGACACTGACAAGTAACATTAGTAGCTACTTGTGTTACTAGGATAATGAGACACTGACAGGTAACATTAGTAGCTACTTGTGCTACTAGGATAATGAGACACTGACAAGTAACATTAGTAGCTACTTGTGCTACTAGGGTAATGAGACACTGACAAGTAGCATTAGTAGTTACTTGTGTTATTAGGATAATGAGACACTGACAAGTAACATTAGTAGCTACTTGTGCTACTAGGTTAATGAGACACTGACAAGTAACATTAGTAGCTACTTGTGCTACTAGGATAATGAGACACTGACAGGTAACATTAGTAGCTACTTGTGCTACTAGGATAATGAGACACTGACAAGTAACATTAGTAGCTACTTGTGTTACTAGGATAATGAGACACTGACAGGTAACATTAGTAGCTACTTGTGCTACTAGGATAATGAGACACTGACAAGTAACATTAGTAGCTACTTGTGCTACTAGGGTAATGAGACACTGACAAGTAGCATTAGTAGTTACTTGTGTTACTAGGATAATGAGACACTGACAAGTAACATTAGTAGCTACTTGTGCTACTAGGATAATGAGACACTGACAAGTAACATTAGTAGCTACTTGTGCTACTAGGTTAATGAGACACTGACAAGTAGCATTAGTAGCTACTTGTGCTACTAGGGTAATGAGACACTGACAAGTAGCATTAGTAGTTACTTGTGTTACTAGGATAATGAGACACTGACAAGTAACATTAGTAGCTACTTGTGCTACTAGGATAATGAGACACTGACAAGTAACATTAGTAGCTACTTGTGCTACTAGGGTAATGAGACACTGACAAGTAGCATTAGTAGTTACTTGTGTTACTAGGATAATGAGACACTGACAGGTAACATTAGTAGCTACTTGTGCTACTAGGATAATGAGACACTGACAAGTAACATTAGTAGCTACTTGTGCTACTAGGATAATGAGACACTGACAAGTAACATTAGTAGCTACTTGTGTTACTAGGTTAATGAGACACTGACAAGTAACATTAGTAGCTACTTGTGTTACTAGGTTAATGAGACACTGACAAGTAACATTAGTAGCTACTTGTGTTACTAGGTTAATGAGACACTGACACGTAACATTAGTAGCTACTTGTGCTACTAGGATAATGAGACACTGACAAGTAACATTAGTAGCTACTTGTGTTACTAGGTTAATGAGACACTGACAAGTAACATTAGTAGCTACTTGTGTTACTAGGTTAATGAGACACTGACAAGTAACATTAGTAGCTACTTGTGTTACTAGGTTAATGAGACACTGACACGTAACATTAGTAGCTACTTGTGCTACTAGGATAATGAGACACTGACAAGTAACATTAGACGTAGAGGAGGCTCAGGACCGGCTCAGAAAGTGTCACTGGCGGCGTTGGCCACGAGCGGGAATGGAACTCGGCTGGTCGGTGCGGAGCGCAGCGCTCAGCACGTCACTGCCAACAACAACAAACTTGAACTCTGACCCCGCCCTCTGACGTCACCGCTCAGCGTGACCTCATCGGCGTCAAACGCCAGGGGGAGGTGTGCCTCGCTAGTGACGTCATGTCACCAAGGTATTCACCCCACCCAACTCACGCGCTCTTGAGCGTGACGTCACCTCCGCTCGGCCGATGTCTGTTCCAGTGCCAATCCTTATTTGGGCAAAGCTACGCCCGGTGACTGGCGGCTCATTAACATAATTTATTTAAGTTGCAGAGCCGCTCATTGTGGGAGGAGAGTGTCTTGTCCTGCAAGTGACGTCATGTCACCTCGTGACGTCACGAGGGACCAGGAAGTTGCCGCTCCGCGCTCGCACTGCAATCCGAGGTGAGAAATTCTCATCGCGGTTGTTGTGGTGGTTGTTGTTGTGGTGGTTGTTGTGGTGGTTGTTGTTGTTTACCGAGGTAGAGCCTTGCTCTCTCTCGTAGGGATGTCAATTGAGTAGCAGCGAGCATGGAAGCGATGTGCAGGGTGGAACTTTACAACGCGGGGCCTAGTGCCTCCTGCCCTCGCCTGATGGCGTTCGCTTCAATTCTCTCGCTTAAGTTTAATTTGTCTTGACCCGGATCGCCACTTTGTACCTTTGTTTAAATATTCTATACTAACACAGTTTCTTTTTTCATTTTTTACCAGGCCACGCCCGCTTGAGCTGCTGTACCGCTCTTGTTTTCAGAAGCGACCTGCCAACAACAACAACAAGGCAGAGGTGGGACAAAGTCATTGTTATGCAAGTCCAAGTCGAGTCTGAAGTCCTCAAATCCATGACTCGAGTCTGACTCGAGTCCACACCTCTGCAACAAGGTGAGGCTCCTCTTCTTGGTTCTTTCGGTAAAGTCACGTAGAAGGGAAGTAATAAAATAATAAAAATAAAACATAATAAAACAATTCTCACGACGTTTCGGCCACAACGCAAGCAGCCGTCCTCAGGTGAAAACCAGGTCCGTCGAGGCGACAGAGTCTGAATGAAACAGCACACGGGCTTAGAGCATATATATAAGCTGGGCGCATTGACAAAGGAATTTGCATATCAAAAGGAATTTAGCATATTTATGGGAAATGCAGGAATGTAATTAGTACTGCATATGCATGTGCATTATGCAGGATTAACAGCATCAAAGGGAGCTGCAGCTACTGCTGCTGCAGCAGTTGCTGCTGCTGCTGCAGTTTCTGCTGCTGCTGCAGTTGCTGCTGCTGCTGCAGTTGCTGCTGCTGCTGCACTTGCTGCTGCTGCTGCACTTGCTGCTGCTGCTGCACTTTCTGCTGCTGCTGCACTTTCTGCTGCTGCTGCACTTGCTGCTGCTGCTGCACTTGCTGCTGCTGCTGCACTTGCTGCTGCTGCTGCACTTGCTGCTGCTGCTGCACTTGCTGCTGCTGCTGCACTTGCTGCTGCTGCTGCACTTGCTGCAGCAGCAGCAGCAACTGCAGCAGCAGCAGAAACTGCAGCAGCAGCAGCAACTTCTGCAGCAGCAGTAGCTGCAGCTCCCTTTGATGCTGTTAATCCTGCATAATGCACATGCATATGCAGTACTAATTACATTCCTGCATTTCCCATAAATATGCTAAATTCCTGTTGATATGCAAATTCCTTTGTCAATGCGCCCAGCTTATATATATGCTCTAAGCCCGTGTGCTGTTTCATTCAGACTCTGTCGCCTCGACGGACCTGGTTTTCACCTGAGGACGGCTGCTTGCGTTGTGGCCGAAACGTCGTGAGAATTGTTTTATTATGTTTTATTTTTATTATTTTATTACTTCCCTTCTACGTGACTTTACCGAAAGAACCAAGAAGATGAATCCCTGCAGTCACGAAAGCTTTAAATCGAAATTTAAGGTGAGGCTCGTCAACAGCGTGGCGGTGTTCACTCTAGACGCGTGGCGGTGTTCACTTTAGACGCGTGGCGGTGTTCACTCTAGACGCGTGGTGGTGTTCACTCTAGACGCGTGGCGGTGTTCACTCTAGACGCGTGGCGGTGTTCACTCTAGACGCGTGGCGGTGTTCACTCTAGACACGTGGTGGTGTTCACTCTAGACACGTGGTGGTGTTCACTCTAGACGCGTGGCGGTGTTCACTCTAGACGCGTGGCGGTGTTCACTCTAGACGCGTGGCGGTGTTCACTCTAGACACGTGGTGGTGTTCACTCTAGACACGTGGTGGTGTTCACTCTAGACGCGTGGCGGTGTTCACTCTAGACACGTGGCGGTGTTCACTCTAGACGCGTGGTGGTGTTCACTCTAGACGCGTGGCGGTGTTCACTCTAGACGCGTGGCGGTGTTCACTCTAGACGCGTGGCGGTGTTCACTCTAGACGCGTGGTGGTGTTCACTCTAGACGCGTGGTGGTGTTCACTCTAGACACGTGGTGGTGTTCACTCTAGACGCGTGGCGGTGTTCACTCTAGACGCGTGGCGGTGTTCACTCTAGACACGTGGCGGTGTTCACTCTAGACGCGTGGCGGTGTTCACTCTAGACGCGTGGCGGTGTTCACTCTAGACACGTGGCGGTGTTCACTCTAGACACGTGGTGGTGTTCACTCTAGACACGTGGTGGTGTTCACTCTAGACACGTGGTGGTGTTCACTCTAGACGCGTGGCGGTGTTCCCTCTAGACACGTGGCGGTGTTCACTCTAGACACGTGGTGGTGTTCACTCTAGACGCGTGGCGGTGTTCCCTCTAGACACGTGGCGGTGTTCACTCTAGACGCGTGGCGGTGTTCACGCTAGACGCGTGGTGGTGTTCACTCTGGACGCGTGGCGGTGTTCACTCTAGACACGTGGTGGTGTTCACTCTAGACGCGTGGCGGTGTTCCCTCTAGACACGTGGTGGTGTTCACTCTAGACACGTGGTGGTGTTCACTCTAGACGCGTGGCGGTGTTCACTCTAGACGCGTGGCGGTGTTCGCTCTAGACGCGTGGTGGTGTTCACTCTGGACGCGTGGCGGTGTTCACTCTAGACACGTGGTGGTGTTCACTCTGGACGCGTGGCGGTGTTCACTCTAGACGCGTGGCGGTGTTCACTCTAGACACGTGGTGGTGTTCACTCTGGACGCGTGGCGGTGTTCACTCTAGACGCGTGGCGATGTTCACTCTGGACGCGTGGTGGTGTTCACTCTAGACGCGTGGCGGTGTTCACTCTAGACGTGTGGCGGTGTTCACTCTAGACACGTGACGATGTTCACTCTAGACGCGTGGTGGTGTTCACTCTAGACGCGTGGTGGTGTTCACTCTGGACACGTGGTGGTGTTCACTCTAGACACGTGACGATGTTCACTCTAGACGCGTGGTGGTGTTCACTCTAGACACGTGGCGGTGTTCACTCTAGACACGTGGCGGTGTTCACTCTAGACGTGTGACGGTGTTCACTCTAGACGCGTGGTGGTGTTCACTCTAGACGCGTGGTGGTGTTCACTCTAGACGCGTGGTGGTGTTCACTCTGGACGTGTGGTGGTGTTCACTCTAGACGCGTGGTGGTGTTCACTCTAGACGCGTGGCGGTGTTCACTCTAGACACGTGGTGGTGTTCACTCTAGACGCGTGGTGGTGTTCACTCTAGACACGTGGTGGTGTTCACTCTAGACGCGTGGTGGTGTTCACTCTGGACGTGTGGTGGTGTTCACTCTAGACGCATGGTGGTGTTCACTCTAGACGCGTGGTGGTGTTCACTCTAGACACGTGGCGGTGTTCACTCTGGACGTGTGGTGGTGTTCACTCTAGACACGTGGTGGTGTTCACTCTAGACGCGTGGTGGTGTTCACTCTGGACGTGTGGTGGTGTTCACTCTAGACGCATGGTGGTGTTCACTCTAGACGCGTGGCGGTGTTCACGCTAGACGCGTGGCGGTGTTCACTCTGGACGCATGGTGGTGTTCACTCTAGACACGTGGTGGTGTTCACTCTGGACGCGTGGCGGTGTTCACTCTAGACGCGTGGCAATGTTCACTCTGGACGCGTGGTGGTGTTCACTCTAGACGCGTGGCGGTGTTCAATCTAGACGCGTGGCGGTGTTCACTCTAGACGCGTGGCGGTGTTCACTCTAGACGCATGGCGGTGTTCACTCTAGACGCATGGCGGTGTTCATTCTAGACGCGTGGCGGTGTTCGCTCTGGACGCGTGGCGGTGTTCACTCTAGACACGTGGCGGTGTTCACTCTAGACGTGTGGCGGTGTTCACTCTAGACGCGTGGCGGTGTTCACTCTAGACACGTGGCAGTGGTCACTCTAGACACGTGGCGGTGTTCACTCTAGACGCGTGGCGGTGTTCGCTCTGGACGCGTGGCGGTGTTCACTCTAGACACGTGGTGGTGTTCACTCTAGACGTGTGGCGGTGTTCACTCTAGACGCGTGGCGGTGTTCACTCTAGACACGTGGCAGTGGTCACTCTAGACGCGTGGCGGTGTTCGCTCTGGACGCGTGGTGGTGTTCACTCTAGACGCGTGGCGGTGGTCACTCTAGATACGTGGCAGTGTTCGCTCTGGACGCATGGCGGTGTTCACTCTAGACGCATGGCGGTGTTCACTCTAGACGCGTCGCGGTGTTCGCTCTGGACGCGTGGCGGTGTTCACTCTAGACACGTGGCGGTGTTCACTCTAGACGTGTGGCGGTGTTCACTCTAGACGCGTGGCGGTGTTCACTCTAGACACGTGGCGGTGTTCACTCTAGACGCATGGCGGTGTTCACTCTAGACGCGTGGCGGTGTTCGCTCTGGACGCGTGGCGGTGTTCACTCTAGACACGTGGCGGTGTTCACTCTAGACGTGTGGCGGTGTTCACTCTAGACGCTTGGCGGTGTTCACTCTAGACACGTGGCGGTGTTCACTCTAGACACGTGGCAGTGGTCACTCTAGACACGTGGCGGTGTTCACTCTAGACACGTGGCGGTGTTCACTCTAGACGCATGGCGGTGTTCACTCTAGACGCGTGGCGGTGTTCGCTCTGGACGCGTGGCGGTGTTCACTCTAGACACGTGGCGGTGTTCACTCTAGACGTGTGGCGGTGTTCACTCTAGACGCTTGGCGGTGTTCACTCTAGACACGTGGTGGTGTTCACTCTAGACACGTGGCAGTGGTCACTCTAGACACATGGCGGTGTTCACTCTAGACACGTGGCGGTGTTCACTCTAGACGCGTGGCGGTGTTCGCTCTGGACGCGTGGCGGTGTTCACTCTAGACACGTGGTGGTGTTCACTCTAGACGTGTGGCGGTGTTCACTCTAGACGCGTGGCGGTGTTCACTCTAGACACGTGGCAGTGGTCACTCTAGACGCGTGGCGGTGTTCGCTCTGGACGCGTGGTGGTGGTCACTCTAGACGCGTGGTGGTGTTCACTCTCTACATGTGGAGGGGAAACCCGGGGATCGGCAGCTGTAGAAGTACGGCGCGCGAAGAGCCATGTGGTAGGGGGGTAAGCATTGCAGAGCGCTTAGCTCAGGTGTGATGCGGGTTGATGCCACATACGTCATGGTCATTTCCCCCCCCCCCCCCCAAAATACAAAGTCTATTTTTCTTTCCTGAAGGCATCAACACGTTCAGCGAGCGCGATGACGATCACACACGTCGAATGAAAAGCAAGGGACAAGTCCTTTCTTACTAACAACTCCTTTCTCACTAACAACTCCTTACTTACTAACAACTCCTGTAATTTTTCATTGCTGGAGGGGTTTCCCCCCCCTACCTGAAAATCCTGGCTCCACCTCTGAGTGTGTGACAGTGTCAAGTTTGTATTTGCAGTAAAGTCTATTAACTTTATTGAGCACAGAGGTTATATCAAAACAGTAGTTTATTTTATTTTTCCTCTGGAACTATTCTTTGGTTCTTTCGGTTAAGTCACGTCTAAAGATAAAATAATAAATTAAAATAAAAGCAGTATGCTTTTATTTTCATTCATTATTTTATCTTTAGACGTGACTTAACCGAAAGAACCAAAGAATAATTCCTGCAGTCACGAAAGCTCCATAATTAAGATTCCTCTGGAACTCTTTGTAAGAATGGAGTCAGGAAGTGATCACAGCACACACGTGCAGCAGCTGAAGTCGGAACTGCTCATCCCAGCAATCAAGGACATCTGTGCCTGGCTTCACACCTTTAAGTTGCGATTGAACATTAATTTATGCATTTGTGCGTGACACAAATAGTATTATTTTCAACACCCTTTGCTATGTCAGCTGAATTTAGCTTTCATAAACATTTATTTAGAAGCCAGACAGCTGAAATTGTGTGCTGAGTTTTGGGTTAACGTTCATTTTGAAGATACGAGGGCTTCCAGGCATGTTTATGACCATTTGGCCTCTCTTTGTGTGCCATAACAGCCCGTGTGATGAATTTGGGACACTTTTTTTTACTATATCATAAATATATGAATAATTATAGACGTGTAAGTCACGTGTGACTGTGTATATGCATTCCTCTGGGCCTCGATACTGACGTGTAGATGGTGTGGATATTCTTTGTTTCTGTCTGCAGCTGTCGCTGCCTCTGCAGAAGTGGTCTCATGGAGCAAAGGCACTCGGCGCAGCTCGGTGCAAAAAGGCATCAATGCGACCGGTGTGCATACAGCACGGATCGTCCTGCACATTTGACACTGCACCAGAGAACTCACACTGGGGAGAAACCCTTCAAGTGCAGTGTGTGTGGGAAGGCATTTGCACGGTCATCTACTCTTGTAGAACACCAGAGAACACACACGGGAGAGAAACCCTTCAAGTGCAGTGTGTGTGGGAAGACGTTTGCACATTCATCTGCTCTTGTAGCACACCAGAGAACTCACACGGGAGATAAACCCTTCAAGTGCAGTGTGTGTGGGAAGGTGTTTGGACAGTCATCTGCTCTTGTAAAACACCAGAGAACACACACGGGAGAGAAACCCTTTAAGTGCACTTTGTGTGGGAAGGCGTTTTCATATTCATCTGCTCTTGTAAGACACCAGAGAACACACACGGGAGAGAAACCCTTTAAGTGCACTTTGTGTGGGAAGGCGTTTTCAGATTCATCTGCTCTTGTAAAACACCAGAGAACCCTCATGGGAGAGAAACCCTTCAAGTGCAGTGTGTGTGGGAAGGCGTTTTCACGTTCATCTGATCTTAAAATACACCAGAGAACACACACGGGAGAAAAACCCTTCAAGTGCGGTGTGTGTGAGAAGGCGTTTACACTTTCACCAAATCTTCAAAGACACCAGAGAACACACAAGCATCAGAAGATCCACCAGGAGTGGAGTCTGAAATCAGCTTGTGAAAGTCAAAGTTCTGCAATGAGCCCATCCCTCATGAAACAAGAACCGGAAGAACATCCCAGCCTGGACACTTTCAAAGAAATCGAGGTGAAATATGAAGAGGTGAAGGTGGAATGTGAAGACGTGATGGTAAAGAGCGAAGAAGTGAAGGTAAAATGTGAAGATGAAGATTCAACTCCAAAATCGGACTTTCACATCGATGGAGGCAACGTGAAGCAGGAGGAGAATTCTGACTGTGAGGCAGAGCGAGGCAACTCCCAGCAGTTTGTGGAAGTGGAGGTGTGGGTGGACTTCCTCCGAGACAGTACAAAGTCGAATGGAGACCCGGTAGATGTGTAAGCCTGAAACGATGTCGCTCCAATAGATGCACCTTTGTCACAGGCCTTTAATGACAATAATGTGAAGTTGAACACTCAGTTCCTAGGTGCAACCTGCAGGGTAAGAGCGGCCAGTCTTTGTGGACCTGTGTGTTGGGTAGATCTCTAACTAGGAGCGAGAGCCAATAAGCTCCCAAGCATTCACTATGTTATCATAATTGCATTTATATGGTGCTTGCTTAATTGCCTCGGCAATTCGGAGTTTTGTATCGTATCTCTTTTCAAACACTCTAAGAGCATCCCCAAGTAGCAGCTGCCCCTGTGTGGCACAAGGTGGTGGCCATGCACCGGCCTGCACGTGGACAAGAGCCTGTCAGTAGGGGGCGATGGTTGATGTGGCATCTCGGTTGTGGAGTTTGTAGGTAATGTTTAGAATTTTTTTGATCAATTTTGACCCAGACGCCAGCATGCAATGGCCTACTCGTTTTGAATGGTGCATTAGTATGTTGTACATACACTGTTAAGCAGACGGTGCGTATTTTTTTAATTAGCTTGTTAATGCGATGTAACCTAATGCAGTATATTTCAGTGCAGTCATTAAATTTTGTTAATATGCCTGTCACGAATTTAGAATGAATACTTGTCTGATGGTGTGCGTACATGTAACCTTTTGTCTACAAGGGTCAAACTTTGAATGAGTCATGTTAGGACACAGTGTGTGTTTTGCAAGTAACCTGTACAGATAACTCAGGTGAGACTCATTGTTCTTGTGATACAGGTCAAAGGGTATTTTTGTGTTTTCAGGAAGCATCTCCCTCTGGAGCAACTCATTGTCTTTAAAATAGCGAGCACACTCGTATCATTCATCAGTTACAAGGCAAACCACTTAAAAGTTACACGTAGAGGAGATACATTCTCAACAACACGAATTATAATTTTGCATTACGTGTTGACGTAGATTTTGTCTAACTAGGACGAGAAATACTCCTTACTGATTAATGTCTGGATGTCCCTAACTATCGGTTGAAACAAGCCCGGCTGCTGTTGAGACGCTGTGCACCAATAAGGGTCCACATGTGGCTTGCACTGAATCAATGACGCGCTCCCAGAAGTCTGTGCTAGTTATAGTTTGTGTAAAACATTCATTTGTTTCGTGGAGAGATCGATAAATGAAAGATGTCGTGTCTGCTGATCTGCTTCATAGCAAGGAGGTCATTTTAAGAGCACATTTGGAATGCATTTTTGGTACAGATTTGTATTCGGTTACAAGGCAGAGCACATCTAGTAGATACATTCTCCACAACAACACTCATTAGAATTTTGCATGACGTCTTATATTTGTTGGCGAACTAGGACAAGAAATGGTCCTTGCCGATTAATGTCTGGATGTTGACAACCATGGGGTTGAAGCAAGCCGGACCGCCTGCGGTGCCCCTCAACCGTTTACGGCCTTGGGCCAGGAAAGTCACGAAGAAAATTGTCCACGAACGACGCATCCACGCAAACACCCGATGCTCCGTTTTGAAGTTTTAAAATGAAACAACTTTGAATTGTATTATGTTTTTGAATTAGATAATTGTACTTAATTAAAAGCTTATATTTTACATCTGGAAGACTTCATTGAAAACGACATTTTGTGTGAATTTTCTCTAGTCGTGAAGTAGATGGCCTTGCCGGGGATTCGGTTCGATGCGGACTTTCACCTGGTTGGGATCGCGAGGTGGAGATGAGGCGACACAGAGCTGGCCGTGCCAGAAGACCGCCGTCTGCAGATCGATTCCAACGTGATCGAACGTCTGTCACTGTGCCTCCGTCGTTCATGCAGGGGGCGCGTAGGGTTACAGCGCCCCCTGCATGAAAACGACGGAAAGTGCAGCATTCATCACAGATAGATAAAGTTGTGCGCTTATATATAAGAGCATCGCCAGTGGGTTTTCAAAGTACCTTCGTCTTACAGAAATCAATTTCGCGTGAGCCCACCGCATTACAACAATGCTCAGCTGTAGCTCACGTGACTTCTGCCGCGACAATGTCTGGATGTTGTCGCCTGAGGACGACCGCTCGTGTTGCGATTGAAACTTCGTGATTTATTTATTATTTTATTTGTTCTACATACGTGACTTTACTGAAAGAACCAAAGAGTATGAAAGACGTCTTGTCTGCTGATCTTGTTCATGTCCGTGTACATCGATATCCCACATTGCTTACACTACACACCACACACAATGAAATTAATAGAAACGAGAACGACTTCTGGGGATGGGCAAAGATCGAGGAATCTCTTTCAATGGAGCGAGTTCAGTGAGTTCGATTCAACATCTCGCTGTCCGTCTGTGTCTGTTCGCCTCTATGTGTCTCTCTCTCTGCCTGTCTCTGTCTATGTCGTCTCTGTGTCTCTCTGCTCCTCTTGGCTGTGTCTGTCCGCCTGTCTTGTCTGTCTGTGTCTGTCTATCAGCGTCTGTCCCACCGGAGTCAACGATTGTCAGTAGCAGCAGGCGCCCGTTCAGCTCCCACGACTACACGCCACTCAAACTTGCTCCCAATACACAAAGACAAAGATCCCCAATACAGCCTTAACAGACTGTCGGGTCAAGTGCTGTTAGCGAGCACCTATGGACTAACACACACACACACATCGATGTACATACACACATCAACTGACACAGATAGACGCACACACACAGTGACTCACATGAAGCCATGCACACACATGGACTAATATGCACACTTGGACTTACACACACATCGACGTACACACACAAACATCTGGCATTGCCTGGGCAAAAAAGACACAGATACTCCGACTTACACACACACATTTACCTAAACACACATATGGACTCAAATACACACACACATCGACTTACACAGCAATCCCCTGTGATGCCACAGCTAGAGCAATTTTCTCTCTCTGGCAAGCCTTTGCGAGGAGCAGTTTTAAAACAAAGGTCTTCCCAGTACTGGCAGGTGCATCAAGGATAAAAATGACTCGATTTGTAGTCTCAATGTCTTCCAAGATTTCCGTGTAGGCTTCTATTTGTGCATCCATCAGCTTTGGTTAATTTTCCTAAAGTTTTTAAGAATCTGTCAAGCATAATAGCATATTTCACGTAGTATCTCTTGAGCAAGAGCATGCAGGTTGTCCCTGTAGGGTGTTGGTGGTCCCATAGACGTGAAGTATTTCCCAGCAATGGAGTGCAGTTTGTCGTGAAGGAGGATGAGGGCCTGTTTGAAGATAACATCAGAAAAGTTGACGTCCAGGTTAGTATCTTGTTATTGAGCTCCGTGGAGGATGTCCTCTCTCATGCCCTCTTTGTATTTTTGCCAGAGTCCCATGGGGTTAGATGGGCTGCAAACTTGAAGAGTCATGCAGAAGAGCAATGTCAGTTGGAAAGGGGACTGACCAACAGAAGCTTCTGTCAAAGCTTTATGAATAAGGTGATCATGCGCAAGAATTGCACGAAGATTGCAAGCTTTCCTGTATGTTTGACAGACAACTCGTTCCACTGTTTATAGGTCTTGAAAAGATGTGTGCCCTTTGGCAACATGGAGAAGCATTGGGAGAAAGTAGCACTGCTGATTGTTGGAATGAACTGTGTAGACTCGTCCTAAGGCATCCGATTCACCGTCAGCAGCACTTCGCTTCCATGTTTTTAGCAGTCCGTGTATAGTCGGAGGGAACTTAATGGTAGAGCAGGTTGGCAGCAAATGTGTCACTTGGGCACAAAACCAAGAACGCCATAAGGGTGGTATCTTGTGGAGCCAGGGCCTGGTGTGGGGCATTTCCTTTGGTGAAATGTCCCACTTTTAAAGTAACATAGAGCATACTAATGCTTAACAAAATGGAGGAATTCACTTTTTCTTGAAAAATCTAGCTATGGAAATGTAGCGAATTTTGCCCAAGAACGGCATTGGTAAAGTATGCCGATTTGATCTTTTTACTTCAAATTTCATGGTGAAATTTCCCACTTTTAATGTAATATATCGGCTACTCAGGCTCAACACAACCGAGGAATGCACTTTTTATTTTAAAATACAGCTGTAAAAGTCGTAAAATTTTAGCCAAAAACGGTAGAGGTTAGTATGTCGATTTCTGTTTGGGACGTGAACATTTCATCGTGAAATTTTCCACTTTTAATCTAATACATAGCATACTAAGGCTAAATACAATGGAGCCAATGAACTTTTTTCGACAAATAAGGCTGTGAAAGTTTGGCCAATTTTGGCCGATTTTATTTTTTTACTAAAAATTTTAATGGTGAAATTTCCCACTTTTTATCGTAATATATAGGATACTAAGGCTAAGCACACCCGAGGATTGCACTTTTATTGAAAAATGAAGCTGTAAAAATTTGGCCATTGGCCAAAAACGGCCTAGGTTAGTATGCCGATTTTCTATATTGGGACGTGAACATTTCATCATAAAATGTTCCACTTTTAATCTAATACATGGCATACTAAGGGTAAATACAATAGAGGACTTAACTTTCGTCCAAAAATAAAGCTGTGAAAGTTGGGCTTATTTGGGCTAAAAATCGGCACAGTATGCCGATTAACTTTTTTATATTCGAAAATTTCATGCATGAAATTCCCCACTTTTTTACATAATATATGGGCTACTCAGGCTAAACACAACCAAGGAATGCACTTTTAGTAGAAAAACAAAGCTCGGAAAATTGGGTAAATTTTGCCAAAAAACGACCTAGGTTAGTATGGCGATTGTCTTTTCATGGACGTGAAAATGTCATCGTGAAATGTCGCCAGCGGTGTGCTGGAGAGCCAAGCCACGTCACGGCACACGAGGGGGGGGTGGGTGGCCAGCACCACGCCCGGCCGCCTTTGTCTCCCCAGTGCTGGCGATGTTGACTACACACCGCACCGGGGACTCGTTTGAGGCTGAGTCGACACTGCCGCTCCCTTTCTGTCAACAAACTTGAACTCCGACCCCGCTCTCTGACGTCACCGCTCAGCGTGACCTCATCGGCGTCAAACGCCAGGGGGAAATGTGCCTCGTTAGTGACGTCATGTCACTCACCACCCGACCACCGTGCTCTTGAGCGTGACGTCACATCCACCCAGCCGCTGCCGATAACTGTTCCAGTGCCAATCCTTATTTGGGCAAAGCCACGCCCGGTGACTGGCGCTCATTAACATAATTTATTCATGAAAGTCGTCGCGAGTTGAGAGCCGCTCATTGTGAGAGGGGAATGTCATTGTACCCCGCGAGTGACGTCATGTCACCTGCT